GATAGATAGATAGATAGATAGATAGATAGATAGATAGATAAAAATATAGAGTAATTAAGGAGATGCCCTACGTCAGTTCTGGTCTTCATGTGCACACTCACACACAAACTGTGACTATCCATGCTTGTGACATGCAGGCTGAGGTTGCATGTTACAGTGCAGGTCTGACTTCAGAGACAGTGCATGTCTAGTGTGTCATCAGGCAACAAAAGGAGACCCGGGTTTCAGCAGTGACTTTTTGAACAGAAATAGAACGGGGACACTGTTGGGAAGGACTCTTTCCACTCTTGTCCTGGACATTGTATTTTCTACAAGATGGTGGTTCCACATGTGGAGTTTTATTTTCACAGGATCTTATCCACAAAAGAAAGAATCGGGAGGGAAAGGGAGAGAAAGGCTGCAAGGGTGGCCTTTGAGAACAAACGCAATTGTTGGACGACCGCAGAGTGAAGACGCCAGCAGGACGGCTCCCCAGCCAGGGGTCCACTCCTCTTGCTGTGTTTTGTTTTCTCTATTCACTTCTTCTTGAAGAGCTACAAAAGAGCACTTAGGTGCTTCCCCTATTAAAAATGTCTCCAAACCAGATGTGGTGGTACATGCCTGTAATATCAGCACATTGGGGAAGCTGAGGCAGGAGGATGGAGAGTTCAAAGGCAGCCTGGGCTATATATAAGGCTCTATTTCAAGAAACGATACAACAATAACAAAAACAAATCTGGTTTGGGCAGAGCACTTGCATTCACAAAGTCCTGAGATTTCATCCCCAGCAAACACTAGAGCGTGTGCACACAGACACACACACACACACAGACACACAGAGGAAGGGGAGGGAGAGAGAGAATAAGGGTTCACTTATGAGTTATTTTCTGTTTAAAAAAATATTGTGTCTGTGTATGTACATTTTCATGGCTGTGTACGTGGGTGGAGGCTAAGGGTCAACATCAGATGTCTTCCCCTATTGCTCTCCACCTTATTTTTTGAGACACCTCTCTCTCAGGAACCTGGAGCTCCCTAGTTCTGCTTGACTCTGCTGCCAGCAGTCTCCAAGGATTCACCTGACTCCTTCACCCACCAATACGAGGGTTACAGGCATGCAGTGCGCTCCCCGTCCAGCTTTTTACTTGGAGCTGGGGAGTCTGAAGTCAGGCCCTTAGCAGAGTAAGCACTTTACCAACTGAGCCGTTAGTTGGTTTGCTGTTTCCTTTGTTTTTTGTTTTGAAGCGTAGAAGATTACACTGGAATCCCAAGGTGTCACCTAGGTTGGGAGGTGAGGGTGAGGGATGCCATGGAATTGCGAAGCTAGCGTGCTGCGTGTTATCAAATTGGGAGCTAGTGACCCAAATCCTGAATTCAAGTTGTTTACAATTTTGTGAGTAAAGCTGGTCATGTGTGTGAGTGAGCCAGGTGTTTTCTGTTGATTTAAATCACTTGTGTTCCTGAATATAAAGCCACGTTTGGATTTCTAGAGCTTCTGTGTGAATTTCATGTCTACAGGTCTCCTTGAAGGCTGCTGCCTTTGTGAAAAGTCACACACAGGCCCTCTGTAGATTGGGAAGGGAAGGGAAGAAGGTCGCTGGTGCTGAGAAAGAAGGGGCTGAGCAGTGTCCTTCCTTCTAAGACCCCAACATGGGAAATGACCCCCAGGGAGAAGGTAATTCACATGACTAGTCTATGACTTTCTGATAAGAAGAAATTAAATGCTTCTCATATCCTTCTCTGTTTTTAATACACGGTGGCAGCAAAGGGCTTCTTCGAGCAAAAGGAGCCTAAATTCCCAGACAGACCAGCAGCAGGATCAAAGGAAGAACTGCTTGTCAACACAGTGCACAGGTGCAACACTGCCACCCCATGGCAGCATGAAGCAAAAGCATTCATGCATCCTACCCGGCCCCGGTGTGAAGAGCCTCTTCCCTACGCCTGGGTCCCTTCGCTGTAGAGGACACACAGTCATTTATTTCTTCTATTGTGGACGTTTTCCTTCCATTGTTGGGGATGAGGTGATCCCAGGGCCTTCAGTGTGCTAGGTAAACACTCTAACACTGAATTACACCCTCCTTTGTTTGATTTTGAAGATAAGTTCTCACTAAATTATCTAGGCTGGCCTCAAGTTCTTGATTCTCCTGCCTCAGTGATTACAAGTTTGCTCCATCTCAGCTGTCACGGACTTCTGATGACCAGCCAGATGGCTCTACCAAAGTTAGCTTGTGACATCACAGCTGGTCACTGAAGAAACTATTATCTGAAGCAGTGACAAGAACCTCAGCTGAGTCAGGGAAGGCTTCGTTCTGGCTTGTTGTAAGAGCTATTCTAATCTATCTATTATAGGGTCTGGCAGATGCAGTGGGTAAAGTCCTTTCCACACAAGCGTGAGGACCTGAGCTTGGTTGGATCTCCAGAACCCATGTAAAAATCTGGGCAAGACTGGGGAGGCGGAAACAGGAGGATCCCTCAGGGTCACTGACCAGCCAGCCAGCTTAGCCAAACCAACAATCTACAGGTTCTCTGACTTTTGCTAAAATTCCTTCCCAGGTCCTCTAAGGTCCAATGGAGACAGGATTCCACCAGAGTTTACTCGAGGAACTAACCAGTTTATTGGGTGAGGGGTGGGGGTGCTCCTCCCCTCAAAAGGCTGCACTGGAAAGTCTTTACTCAGCAGGGGTAATGGCTTTCCAGAGCCACATAGGTGGGGAACCCATCTTCTCTTCCCCAGCCCAGATGCAGTAGCCTCTCCCATTTTGGATGCTTTTGTATACAGCAGGGGGATAGGAAGTGGTCGGGTACTCCTGAGGTGACCCCACATACACTCCTCTGTGAGGGGCTGTGAACAGTCAAGTCCAGCTTAGGTGTCAGTGGGCATAACTGAACACTCTGAGATGGTAGTTACTTGGCTTGGAGGATAGTCCTGTACAACAGTTGTGCACACTCACACAAACACAAATGCCACACACACGTACAGACATGTTAATGCACTGGGGTGCAGCTGGATGGTGGAGTGTTGTTTAGGGTAAAGCCATGGGTTCCATTCCCGGCTCCATATGCACATATACACAAAATAACTGCACAAATTTAATTTAACCAATTTGATAATATGGTGGTCAGTACACCCTGGACACTAAGTAATAAACATATACATTGCCTCCAAAGGCTGCTTGTGTCTGTCTCTTTGACATCTGTTTATTTGTTTGGAGTGGCGAGCACTTATCACGTGAGACTCTCTCCCTTGGATCTCTAACACCGCGTTCCAACTACTAGGCATCACGGCAGCAGACCTCTGGCGTTAGCTGCTCTTGAAGAATTATAACTTTCTTAGAACTTTAGTTGATGTTCTATGTTTGTGAAACTACCTGTCAGAGGTATGAGCTGTGGTGCACACATGCACACTGATTTTGTGGACAGCATTGTGTTTCTTTTTGTTTCTTAGAGTCCCACTAAGGTGCTAACGCTGAAACTCACAAACCTCCTGCCTCGGCCCCTACATGCTGGGATTACAAAGGTGTATCACCACACCCACCACTGGTTTCTCACAAGGGACACCCTCGTGCTTCTGGCTGGCTGTTCATAGGATAGACCTCTAGGTGGGGTGAAGGATGGAGAGAAACCACAGTGCCAACAGAGACTTTCAAACTCACTGTTTCTGCACAAAAAAACTTATAAAAGAGAAACTGTAAACAGTAAACAGGGCAAGGGCTCTGGAGAGCAGGCTAGGTGGAAATGAGCCTGTGCTCACATGGACAAGATGCCAATGAAAAAGCTGACTGTGTCCCTGGCTCAGACCTTCTGCAGGGGGCAGCCCTGGAGGGGCCACCTCCCACCCCTTTGCCTGCTGCCTAGGCTGACATCAGGTGCTTAGAAAACTACCTGGAAGAATTTTTTTAATGGGCCCTTTCATAAGGGGGTGAGCAGTGTGTATACATCCATGCCCTGAGAACCACATTGCACACCCGAAAAATGTTCCAGTTTTCTTTTAAGAACACTTAAAAGAAAAAAATTCTGGCAGACCTGAAGTGGCAGCCATTCAGGGCACTCTGGGGTGGGGAGGAGCTGGCGTTCAGGCCAGGTGCTTCCCTTGCTGCCTTTGTGAAGCAGCCCTGTCCATCTTTTCTACCTCTGGAAGTTGGTCGCATGACAGTGAGCCACCCCCATGCCAGAAATGAATGTAGGAAAGCTTGGGAAATAGTGAATGGTGCGTCCCCTAAATGCCTTGCTGGGCATCACAGTTTCCCATCAACATTCTAGAAATTTCCAGACTCATGAGCCTTGGGCATACATTACCTCATTGCCATGACCTTACATTCCCCTTGTCTGACAGAAGGGACAAAGGGCAGGTCCTGTTCTGTGGGTCCAAGACGATTCAGTGTTTATTACAAAAGCCTGGCAACTTGAACTTCATCCCCAGAAGCCCACAAAAAGGGTAGGAGAAGAGAACTGACGCCATGAGGTCATTCTTGGTCTAGTATGCTGTGGCACACACGCACACACACACACACACACACACACACACACACACTTTTAAAAAGTTCTAATTTTGTATGTGTGTTGAGCATAAGCACTCTAGGACGATGAAGCACCCCCAGGCTTTTATTTCATCTTCTATTTTGAGACAGGATCTCTTGAAGTTGCCTTGACCTCCTCCCATGTCCAAGTAACTTCTCTGTAATGTATTTACATGTTCTTTTTTATTCATTCACATTTGTTCAATATAAACTTTTAACATGTACTGTATGATAACTAACATCAGTGCTGAGGATAGGCCTGGGCCTCCACATCCTTAGGCAAACTGTTTCGTTTCTGACAGGGCTTCATTAAGCTGCACAGGCTGTTAGAACTCAGATTACCTGCCTCAGGTTTGTGTCACAGTTTTTGTGCTTGCTTTGGAAATGTAGGGTTTTTATTATTACATTTGTGTGTATGTGTACATGTGTGTGTATGCGTGTATGTGTGTCTGTCTGTGTGTGTGTATATGTCTGTGTGTGTATGTGTGTGTGTCTCTGTGTGTGTATGTGTGTGTGTCTGTGTATACGTCTGTGTGTCTGTCTGTCTGTCTGTCTGTCAACTTGTAAGAAAAAGTTTAGCAGAAGTGCACTGGCCTGGCATCATTCCTCTTCCTCACTTCAGCTCATGCCTCTCTAGGTAACGCAACCAAGCTCAAGTAATGAGTAATGGTTTTGCTAAGGATTCCTAATGATGAGCCTCTTTTTAAAACTCACCCAAAGGGCTACAGAGTGGCTTCTTTCTTCTATTTGTGAGTCAACACTACAGGTTAGGGCTTAACTCCCACTTTACAGATGGGGAAACTGAGGTCCAGAGAGGCTCTAGGGCTGCCTTTACCTGCTGAGCCATCTTTCTGGCCCCTAGAAGTTTATTTCTTTTACACCGAGAGTCTTGGCAGCTGATAGTAACTAACCACCTTTTTGTCCGCTTCCCTCAGGCCCCATGAAAACTCAGAGAAACCACGTGAGGCCTATGCCTGGCCTCTCTCACCGGCCTAGGGCTTTCCCGACGACTCGGGTTGGCTGTGGTTCTCTGGGGCTCCAAGGCCCTTTGCAGCTTTTCCATAGATTTGGTTGAGTTTTGGTGTCACCACAGGGCCAACAAGTGAGGCTCCTTCTCGGGGAGAGACCAGCAAGGGTCTAGGACTTCAGCCAAACGGCAAGTTGTTTTCCATGTACGTTGATGGAGATCTCAGGTCCATCACTTGCCTATTGTGGGCAGCTGAGTTAGGTCTGGTAAGACAGAACTCCAATGGACCTGGGAGTATCTTTTAAAAGCCAGGCGTCCCTAGCCTGTGGTGAGGCCTATTCGGCCAGTCAGAGACTGTTTACCCTCCTGCATAACCCTTTGCTTTCAGGCAGGGCCTGAACTGGAGTGCCAGGGTGAGTTTTGCAGCTCCATACACAGATAAGGAGCATGGTCATCCCTGAAGGACCCTGAACTGGCACTTGTGTAGCAGAAGAAAGTCACCTCAGCTTCAGAGCGGGGCTGGGGCCTCCCCATGCCACATACAGCCCTAGTTCCTCTTTCCCACTGTCCTGGCATCGTCCCTCTTCCTCATTTCAGCTTTGTCTTCTCCAGGTAATGCAACCAAGCTCAAGTAAGAAGTAATGGTTTCGCTAAGTCGCTGTGGAACAATCCTTTTCTACACTACGAATATGCATCACTTTCATTGGTTAATAAAAAGCTGACAGGATGGCAGCTGGCCAGGAAGTTAGGTGGGAAAGACAAACAGAGGATGATGGGAAGAAGGAGGGTGGAGTCAGGAGAGACTAGAGCCAGCTGCCCAGGAAGCAAGACATGCCAGAGGACAGGTAAAGCCACAAGCCACATGGCAATACATAGATTAATAGAAATGGGTTAGTTTAAGTTGTAAGAGCTAGTTAATAACAAGCCTGAGCTATTGACAGATCATTTAGAATTAATATAATCCTCTGTGTGGTAATTTGGGAAGCAGCTACTGGGTATTTGGGAACAGGCAGTTGGGACAGCTTCACTAAGTACTCCTAATGGACAGCTTCTTTTTCAATTTCCCACAAAGGGCTACAAAGGGGTTCTTTGTTTTATTCACACTCACATAGTGGTGTGTCACCACTATGGGCATATGGCTTCTTAACTCCCACTTTACAGATGAGTCCAGAGAGGCTCTAGGGGTGTCCAACTTGTGACTCACAGTCTGTATGTAGCAGTTTGACACACACAAAAATATTTGTGTGTGTGATTTCTTTATTGGGGGAGCACAGGCTTGAGCATGAACTTTGTAGATGACAATGTTGTGTCCCAGTGTCAAAAGGTTTGACACACCTAGACAGTGCCCAGGTGGAATAGAACATAGTTGTCCCTCCATGAATTTCACCAAAGGGGGCAGCAAGGTTGCCCATGCCACAGCGTCTATGGAGATAGAACAACAGCAGATACCACCTCAGTCTGTTCTCATGGTCCCCTGACCCAAGGCCGCCTGGGTCTAGGACCCTAGACAATGGTGACTGCATAGCAATCACCATCAACTCTGGACTCTCCCCCACAAAACAAGCTCCTGAGGGCAGGGTTGTAGCAGGAATCTTAAAGAGT